TGAGAATGACTGTGCACCGTGTCACATGCAGCCCCACGTCGGCGAGCCGCACCAGCTCTCCCTGGCGTCCTGATGCCTTCTCAAGAGGAGCGAAATCCAAAGAGCTTATTAAAGTCGGGACAAATTACATCTCATTTCCCCTGACGGGTCAGGCTTGCCCCTTGGCTGAGGGGAGGAGGCAGAACCAGGCGGGCTGGCCGGAAGCCTTATTCTTCCCGAGGCGGGGCGTTTCCAACTGTTCCCATGGCGTCCTGACGGACTCCAGAGTTATGTGCGTGTACGTTCCAATAACTTTCCAAATTAGGCTGACAAAGAATTAATTTTATGAGTTATTCTCTTCCCCTCTAATATGCAGACATTTAAATTATTCTCTTCGCAGCTTCAAGGGCCAATTCAGGCCCGCAGGCTTTCTCTACACGCGGCACCAGCAGCCGGGGGCACCCCAAGCCCCAAGCTCACCGACAGGGGCTCCCAGGGGCAGCAAGCATGCTCAGCTGGTGCCCAAACAGACCACGAGCTGAGGGTCTGAGGCCAAGGGCCCGGGGAGCTGTGGAGCCGCTTGCTGCTAATTCTTAAGTGGGGGGGGTTCCCAAGGATCGTGGGGCTCTCTGCATGCGGCTGGCTGTGAGACAGGCGATCGTACAATTTTCTATCTACAGCTTGCATATCCTCTGCGTTTGACTCCGCAGCAGGAGTCATTGCAAAGAGCGAGGCAGAAACCGCCAGCTACCCTCTACTATCTGTCCCCCCTTCCTTTCTAAGCAACAGACAGAAATGTATCTGGCGGAAAGAGCACCTCTCCTGGATTCTGGCATGGAGATATTCGGTGAATTGTAAGCATGAGTCAGCAGTAGGTAGGACTTCTAAGAAAGTTCGTCAAAGGCAAACATACTTGCATATGTGGCCACAAGGTGTACCCCTGTGCCTTCCTCATAGAATGTGGACGCGACCGCTGGCATCGCAGCAGCTAATGTGCAAGCATGAGGCAAACGCTAAAGATGGCAAAGTGAAAAGAAGGAGCCTGACCGTCTGGTGACCATGGAGCTGCCGCTAAGACCCTGTGCAGCTGAACGCCCACTCGTGGGGAGAGAAAGATAAAAACCCACCTCTATTTTGTTTTAAGCTGTTATTTTGGGTCTGTTTCTAGCAGCTGGACTCCATTTCCAACCACTACAGACAGCTGAGCCCCAACGCCTCTGATGGGGCCCTACCACGTAGATCCCAGTAAAGCCGCTCTTTACGTCGATGGCATCTTCCTCTGTCTCGACTGCAATCCGAAGCATGCTCGCAACATGGGTCTTGTGGATGAATGGGGGTGAGCACACATCAGTGATGATGCTTTCTTCTGCAGCTCGCTCTTATTTCACAAACGTTAGTCTCTCCCCGCCGCCTCGGCCGCAAGTCCCAGGTTTGACTCTGTGTTGGGTGTGTTCCCTACTCCTGCTCCGTGCCACAGCCCATCCCTGAGCACACAGTAGGCACGCGCATCAGTGCCACAGCCCGTCACACAACGCTGAGCACACAGTAGGCGCACAGATCGTTCTTGAGATTTTACTATCGGCAGAGAGATTGCGCCCGTTCCTTTCCGAACGACTGCGGCTGCGGAAACATGCAGATACAGTAGGTTCCAGGCACTGGGCGTTGCCACAGAAAGAGAAACAAGAACAACCTGAGCATCCAGGATCCTGGCTAAGAGCTCAGGGCTCTCAAGGCCTTTCTCTCACGAGGAGTCAGGGCAGACGAGCTCGAGGCTCAGAAAGGTTGATGCGCTTCTGGAAGGCAGGTAAGTAGTAAACGTGGAGTCAGGCCCTGAGGGACTAGAAGAAGGGGCTGTTTCTGGGGGTCAGCAGACAGACAGCTGTGTGGGAGGACAGCTCATAACCCTAAATTATTCACGGCCCCTCACTGTGGGCATTTTCCTTCCTGATGCGGCCCCTCCCAATCGGATCACTTTCTCTCTGGTTTATTCTGCTCCCACTCCAGACCAGCTTCCCCGCCCCCACTCCTCGGTTCTTTCCAACTGCAAGTCTAAATGCTCTCTTACTTGTGTCCTGTCTCGGTGGGAACATTGGTTCCGGGACAGAACTTACCGGTTCCCTTTTGTTCGGCTGGGGGTGGCTGACCAGGACGCTCCCGACGACGGGGGCCGGACGGGTGCAGTGTGAGCGCACACGCTGTAGGGCCGCTGCCTCCCCTGCTCATGCCCTCTCCTGATACCTGACAAGCGCCACGGCCAAGCCCAAGGGACAGTTATGCCAACACTGTGGTCAACAAGGGCTCCACCCTGATTTGTCCTGGGGCTGAGGCTTGCCCCTCACAGGAGGGTCAGGCTCAGAGGCTGTCGAACGCCTGAGAAGCTCTGTCCAGGGACCAAGGGACAGACGTAGGGTTAGGAGTCGGGGAGGGTCCGGAAACACAAGGATAGGGTCCTTTCCCCAGGGCGTTAGTCACGTGAAGCACACAGGAAGAGTCGGGACCACACGTAGGGAAAGGGCTGCAGGCCCGACGGAGGACAAGGGCGCTGTGCTGCCTGCGTCCATGCCGAGGTGAGGAGGGCACAGCATCAAAGCAGAAACGCCCGCAGCGAGGGGAGGTGTGAGTCACGACCATGGCCCCTGGGTGCCCTGTGACCTGCAGGGGCCCCGGGCTCTGGGCTCCAATGCCAGCCATCCAATGCCCAGACGAAGAGAAGAGGACCCAGCTGCCAAGCCAAGATACAGACGAGAAAACTGCACACGGCATATTCAGGAACTTGGGCTCAGCAAGAGGGAAGAAAAAGACGGACACCGGGAACCGCTCTTGCACAGAGAGCTAATGGGAGTCCCGCTCGCACCAGGACGAGGAAAGCAACTCCTTCCAGGGAGCTGAAGCAGCCTCAGTCAGCTTCTCCATCCGGACGATCACCGCATCCAGAGGGGGGAGCCTGCCCCGCCGGCCCCGCGCCCCGGCATTTCAGACCAGCTACATCGGAGCCGGCCAGCGTTCAGCTTGCTCACGCGTCAGTGGTTACATCGGACCTGCCCTGTTCTGTCCTATCCCCGCCAGCGAGCCGAGGAAGCAGCTGCCCCCCCCCACCCCCACCCCGTTCACACTGCAGCGACCCAGGGACAGGTGCATCTCATGAGCGTCCTCTGCCCCGCTGTCTCGAGGCACACGGAGGGAACAGACAGAGGCAAAGTATTTTGAAAACTACGCAGCACCACCCGAAAGCGCCAGCCACGCCCTCCTCGTGGCCTGCGTCACAGCAACAGGGAACTCATCGGTTCACAGCCAGACCACGTGCCCTTCTGTCTGGAGTTGCTGAGGCCGCGGGGGGCCCCCAGCTCGCGCGCACAGCCGCTGACGGGTTCGCCTTCCTAATACAGCATTTTGCTCACGTCGCTCCTGGCCCTCAACCTTTAATGGCTCCCAAGTACGAGCCAAACTCTAGGGCCGAAGCTCTCCTCAGCTAGGTGGGGATCTGCCCCTCCATGCCCCGCACAGGACCCGAACACACCAGTAAGAAAATGAAGCAGTCCTAGTTAACAGTAATAGGCGATTCTTAATAGCAAATTCATTATTTTAAGTATTTCCAAATCTACTGTCATTAGGTAGGCGAATTAAAGCAAACATTAATTGTCCAGGTACTTAGCCGTCTCCATTTTCCGGTGAGTAATCGAGACTCACGTGCGGACGAGGAGGTCCTTCCTGGCTGTCTTGCATGTTAAGTATTTCCGCCAGGCACATATTTCACCATGGAGACAGAACTGACTTAATTTATAAAGGAGGCTTTATGGACTTATGGACGACGACAGACAGCCGATCGATCGGGGGTGATGATAACGGTATGCAATATCGAGGAACATGAGGTCTCAGGCATGATTTGGGGAGAGAAGTGGGCAGTTAGAAATATCATCATTTGAAAAAGGTCAAGGCCTGGTGGCACTAAAAATGCCTAAGCAAATAAACCCACACCTGTTGAGTCGGGAGAGGCTAAAAGTGCAGAACGGGAAGAGCTGTCGATTTTGTGGGGAAACTGCTTTCCCCGGGCAGGGACTGGGGCGCCAGGACAGGGTCCATTTTCTCCTGCTGGGAGCACCGACAGTGGACGGTGCTTCCAAATGCCAGCGCTCCCTGGGGCTGAGACCCGGGTCCTCTAGAAAACAGTGGGGGGCTCAGCCATAAAACGAGGGGGTTGGGTCGCAGCATATGAAGGCAAGACCCCACTGGCTTTACGACATCCTGACTGGCCCTTTTCGGAATGGTGCTGTGGGGAGGAGTTTTTACCCACCTAGTAAGTTATTTGGCTTGTATGACTGAAAAAGAACCCCCCCCCCCCAAAAAAAAGGCACACCGAGTTGCAAATTCCATTACCAATAATCATAGTGCATTACTAAAAACAAAATTCTAAACAATCGTTCTCTTTGGAAAACGCTCTCGGTATCACATGGGAGTCCACGGCCAGCTTTACCATGTAATATACCATTATTCCATTTAGAAAAAGGCAATTCCACAGATCTTTCTGAGAGTAAGTGGACTAACTAAAGGATGTGTGTGGATACTCCCTGGCCTAAGTGCCCAGAAGAAAGCATCTGGAACGTTCTCTGTGTCCCTTCTACGGTACTGCGATAGTTGAGGAACAGAGAGACTCAATGACAGGTGACGAATTCCCTTCTACTTGCCCCCTGGAGGACCAGGTCCTTCATCTTTATTTCTAATTTTTTTTACATGTATTTATTTTTGATAGTGACAGAGCGCAAGTGGGGGAGGGGCAGAGATAGAGGGAGACAGGGAATCGGAAGCAGGCTCCAGGCTCCGAGCCGTCGGCACAGAGCCCGACGCGGGGCTCGAACCCACGAACCGCGAGATCATGACCCGAGCCGAACCCCCTCATTTTATGGCTCAACCGACTGAGCCGCCCAGGCGCCCCTATCATCTTTACTTCTAACGTGCTCTCGTCAAACTCGACGTGCCCCGCTCCCCGACAGAGACCGTGCAACCTCGCGGAAAAGCAAGCTTACCTCCTTGTAGGGTGTACTCAGTCACGGCCCTGCTGAAGACTCCCAGGCCCGCCCCGTTGTAAGCTGCCACCTGGATTTCATACTGGGTCCAGATGATCAGCTCGGTCACCAGGCAGTAGTTGACCTCCGGGCTGGTGATGTTCCGCTGCTGGTGCTCCCCGGGCAGGCCGGCCAGGCGGTACCTGCATCGCAATGTGGAGAGACGGCTGGAACCAGGATGCGGGGGTACCCGCATGGATTCCACACAGTTGGAGGGAAATGGAGTCAGTGAACAAGAGTGAAGCCAGAGGTCGGCCCCAGACAACACCGCTTCCTAAGCCAACCCCTCAGACGCGGTGTCACTGAATCTCACAGCGATTATGAGCTCTGGGCAAAATGGAACCGACTGTGTTACTGTGGAATGCAACTGTGTTACGGTTAAAGAAAAATTATAGCTTTTTAGTGTAAGTCGCCTGGGGGGGCGCGGTGACTTAGCACCAGAAATTCCAGGCACGGCTCCCGTGTCGGGTGCTGCCGTAAATAACGATTGTGGAGGGACAGCTTTCCTCCCGTGGTCCTGAAACGTGGGGAAAAGCAGAGAGGCGGGAGACCCGCTGCCTCTTCCGTCTAGGGTTTCTAGATTTGCTCACGCAGCCCCAGAACCAGAACGAGTGGCTTTCGGTGGTGTTCCCACTTCTAAAATACTGGTCGCATGCTGAGGTGGATGGGCTGGGCTGTTTGTTAGGGGGCCTTCGTGGACGAAACGGGTGCAGGGTTCCGTGTACGGCTCCCGATGGTGGCGGGGCTGGCTGCAGTCGTCAGGCTGCAGCAGACACAAAGCGGAATTCTTGCTGCGTGCACCTGACCCTAATACAGTGCTCTACGCCGATTTCACCCGTGTTCGAGAAGGAACTGTGTGGAACAAGCGGAATACTTTTCACGCTGTATCTGTGTTCAAAAGTCACATGCACGACTTGGGACTTAGAAAACGTATAAATTAGGCAATTGCCACATGTGCTACCCAAGGGCTTTTGTGGCATCATTTGGGGTAGCGAATGCTTTTCACAACTTGGTTTTTAGAAGTGCACTGGTTCCCCAGGGTGGAGTGCGGGGGCGGGTGGCGGGAGACAGTGCCTTGGCCGTCACACAGCTCCCGAAGCCTCCAGATCCTGTCCGAGCAGCGGCTCTTGGCTCGGGAAGATGTGGCTTTGTCTGAGGAGAGGGAGAGGGTGAGGGCCGAGGGGACACAGGGCGAAAGGACTCTTTTTTTTTTTTTTTTTTTTTTTTTTTTATTTTGGGGACAGAGAGAGACAGAGCATGAACGGGGGAGGGGCAGAGAGAGAGGGAGACACAGAATCGGAAGCAGGCTCCAGGCTCTGAGCCATCAGCCCAGAGCCCGTCGCGGGGCTCGAACTCACGGACCGCGAGATCGTGACCTGGCTGAAGTCGGAGGCTTAACCGACTGCGCCACCCAGGCGCCCCGCGAAAGGACTCTTGATGGCAGGTTGGGGCCATGGGCAGAGCGCCTGGGCACAGAGGGGAAGGCCCAGCAAGGCTACTGCCGTCGGTGGGGGAGGGGAGAAGAAACCCAGAATTGAGGCCCTTCAAGGGAAAACAGAGCTCTCCAAAGAGGATGAAAGCACAGAGACTGCAACCTAAGGTCCTTCGAGAAAATCAGGACTTCCCGAGGGCAGCCTTTCAGCCACAGACCATGTGTGCAGGTGAGACCCGTGCGGTGGGAAAAATACAAGATCAAGAACAGGCAGAACCGGAATAGTGAGAAGGTCCCAGGCCACCTCCTGCCTTCGCCTGAAAGGAGGTGCGGCTCGCCTGGCCGGAGGCGTGGGGGACGGACAGTGCCCCCATGACGGGCAAAAACAGGGCCAATGCCTCACACCACATTTCTGCTTTCCTATTCCATCCACTTCTGACACCGACTGACTTGATATTCCTTTACTGAACTACCTGCGTCCCAGCGGGGGTTAAGTTCATTTACGTAACATCACGGCCTTCAAGGCAGCGGCCCATGGGGACACAGGCATGGCATGGGATAACCCGCAAGCCAGGTACTCCCACTCAAATTCCCCATCTACAAAATAAACAGCACCGAGACGGTGAGAGAGCCATTTGGAAGAAGGCAAGGATTGGCCCCACGGCAGCACCCGGGTGCCCTGGCGTGTGAATGGCGCCCAGGACCACTCATGATAACCAATATGGCACATACCGGGCAGTCACTTGAGAAGATCTCATTAATGTGGAGGAATCTCTACGCATGACACATTCCAGGGAAAAGCAAAGATGTTAGCTCCAGAAGTAGCTGGGAAGACGACTGATGAGCTGGGCGGCCTCAAGCAAACTCTTAACTTCTCCGAACCTTATTATGTCCCGGGAAGGACATAATAATGGCCTTCCGCTGGGTTTTCGTGAGAATAAAACCAAACGATGGACACAAAGGAGACGTGACACTGTGAAGCACCCTGTAAGTGTTTCTGGTTATGAGAACACTGCTCATCCAGGAAGGACGTGAAGCCCGTACGAACCGTATCTCCTGGATCCTTGTTTATAGGATCGTGTGGAACAGACCACAGGATTCATGTCTTAGAAGCGGCCGCCCTCCTCTCCTTTCTGCAGCAGGCAGGCTGGCCCATTCCGACCCGCGGCTCGGGTGCTTTTGTAACATTCACAGGATGTCTGGGAAGGTCACAATTAATAACAGAAGCACAGGGCATCGCCCTCTCACTGGTGGGATACGTTGCCTGGGAGACTGTCTCGCACAGAACAAGATCATTTTTTTATATGGAAATAAACAGAAGAATGTTTTTAAAGGACATAACCCCTATGCTCCTCTCAAAGAAGCACCCTGCCCATTATTATAAATATTTTATTACTGTGCACACATCCTAACTACTTCTCACGGCCAGAGCCGCGACGGTGATTTATTTCCATTTTGTTCTTCCATGGGCTGTGCTAAGGCTCTGACACAGAGTCTTGTGCCCTGGAGGATGCACACTTGCAAAAAAAGCTGATTTGCAGACCGGAGGATTATTCGGAAATGTTTCCAAGCAAATTTGTTTTGGCATGGGTCTTTAATTTCTGAAAACTTTGATATTCACAGGCCTTGGATAGTGCACCCTCATTTTAGGACTTCCTTGATTTAAACCCCTACAAACACAGATGCCCTCCTTCCCAGCACTCGACTCTCCCAACATATCACAGAAAATCCTTTTAACAGCGGTAATCCCGCAAAATGGAGAAATGTGCAGTCCCCGACGGGGACTTGTAACATCAGAGGGGTTTCATTATTAAGCCCCACGCCCCGAGCCTGGTTCTGCAGGCTGACTTTTAAAGTCCTTACTTGGCAGCTGGAGCCTGAGGAACCTTTTCTGTGTGCTCAAGAAAAGAAAGAGGTGGCCGAAATGACAAGCATGTCAAGGGCCCGGTGGAGGGCAAGGCAATGATTTTCATTAGCTGATGAGCATGGGACAAGAGTGACAGCTGAAGTGAGGGCCCGGGAGCGGGCAGGAGACCTGGGTGGGGGGTGGGTGGCCAGCTAGTTTTCTAGAGGGATCTGGGAACCGCCCAGAGCCCACAGGTGCCCCTGTGCCGGGTGTCTTGTTGGAAGGGGGAGGACACTTGGAGGCAGAGTGACCAGAGAGACTCCGAGTGCCCATTCCAGCCCTCCAGCCCCTGTGGGCCCCTAGGGGGTCACACCTAAACCCCTTCAGGTGGATAATGGCCTAGCTTATGTTTAGAGGACAATTCACATGCTTGAGGAAGACTTGAGAAAAGCAGGAAGTGTTGGTGATTGGCTAATTATACGTGCACGTGGATAAAGGTGTGATAAATGAATGGATGATTACATAAATATATACTGGAAGGAATGGTCCTCCACACGCAAAGATAACGGAGCTAAAAAAGCTATACCTTCATAACTTCTTACATTTGTCTAAGAAATTACATTTAGCCCCCTGAGACCTTTGTTCACCCATATTTTCTGGTCACACGCTCAGAATGGGCGCCAGAGGCCTGGCATTGGGAGGAAGGGAGTGGCGGACGCCGGCTGGGGAGGGACACGCAGCGCATGTCGGTGAACAAACGCGTCCGTGGCTGCACGGTCTGTTGGAAGCGATTTCATAATTATCCTTTGAGGCTGCTTTTCTTTTTCCTGCTTGCTACTGTGTCAACAAACCACTGCAATGATCACATCTGGTGCAATTTCAAAATTAGCAGTAGTTTTGGCAAAAGGGACTCCTCGTCTCAAACCCAGCCAAGATCTGGGAGAGCCCTCTTGACATCCTTAGAAGCCTGACCACCCTCACAAGGCAGAGAAAACAAAGCGGCCACAACGTGGGGCCACATATGGCCTGCAGAAGAGTGAGCTCGGCCTGCACTGTGGTCCAAAACGGGCCGACTTCATTTCTGACATTTAAAAGCTGTGAGATCGCATGTAAAAAGGTAGGTTTTTAAAACATTTCTTTGAAACACTAGAGGGCCTGGCAATACTGAACAACGTGCTAGCCAGCATGGGAACGACTGGCTAATGATTAAATCGGTTGCACTACTGTTAGTTAAAAATTATTACAGTAAATAACGTGTGCCCCTGGATTCACGATGGAAAGCACACCCTGACCCCGACTCATCACGTCCCCCTTCAATCTTCTACCAAATGTCACCATCGGTGCAGGGTTCTGGTGTGCACATGCTAGGCTGGATATGCAGACGCTCTCTGCAAGGCCGCCCCCAGCGAAACAGAGCCCTGACTTCGTGACGACAGCCTCGAGCCGGCCAAGCACAGGCTACTTGCCTGAGGATGTACCCGCGCAGCACCCCGTTGTGCTCCGTCTCTGGGGGCGGCTGCCACTGGACCATGATGGACTGATTGGTACGCCCGCTGGCCACGATATTCTTCGGGGGAGCGCTGGGCGGCTCTTCGGGTAACACCAACCTACACATAAGATATGGGCAGGGAGAGACAGATCGGCATCCGAAACAAAGGGTCCCCATCTGCATTCTCTGTCTCACTGAATCTGGAGCCCAACTACTTTAGAAAATCGAGGGATGAACCGAGCAAAGCACACGGCTGATCCTGCTAGCAGGACAGGCAGGGAGCGGGTACAGCGAAGGCAACGTAACGGAAAACCGGCTACGCGAGCACCAGGGCAGGCGCGGGAGGTGACCTGATTCTGCCAGGAGCGGAGCGGCACCTCCGCCCGGGAAGGGATCGCAAGCCCGAGCGGGCCAGTCTGCAGGCCCACAGCCCGAGACTCCTTCCACATTGCTTTTCATTTGGCTCCTTTGACATTTCTCACGTCACACTCCCACATTTTGAAAAAAGTCATTGAGAGCTCAATCATGCCATGATTCGGGCCCCGTGAACGCTCAGGCGAGTTGGGGAGGGCACGCAGGAATGTGTGGATGGGAGGAAGCCATTTTCGCAGGTCACATCTGAATGGGCTTCCACAGCAGCCGCCCCAGGGCCGGGGAGCGGCAGGGCCACTCGGGGATGCGACGAGCCCGGCCCGGTGTTTACTTGTCCCAACAGCGGCACCAGCTCCCTTCGTGCTGGTGGCCGGGGTAGACAGAGGGCGCAGAAACACCGTCAGCTGTGCACTGCATGTATGCAGAGGCCTGTGCGATCTGGGATGATCTGTGTCGGCCCCGCCAGGGCACCACGGAAGTCTAAGAAACTTCCCTCAGAGCGATTAGGGAGAACCCCGCTAGGCCAACACACGAGGGACTGTGTTTCTCTCTTGGTTACGGTAATTCCTGCCCACGTTGTGGCCAACGTCGCTAAGGGGGCAGGGTGGTTACTTGGATCTATTTCCTCCTCCTAACTGGACGTTCCGTCTTGTTTTCAGGCCCGAGCTGCCCCTCGTCACCACGGAGGGCCGCGCGCTCACACACCTGCTCGTCTCTGCGCTGTACTGACCCTTGCCCACTTGATTCACGGCACACACCCTGAACTGATAGGTGCGAGCTGGAGTCAGGCCGCGCACGGTGACGCCTGTCATCTCGGGGCCGACGTTTGACAGATGCACTTTCCACGGAGAGTCTGAAAGAATGAGCAAAATGAAATCAGAACCATACGAGCACACGTCTGAATGATAACAAGTGAAGATGAAACGCGTCCCCATAAAGTTCTCTCATCTGCTTTCCTGGGCAGAGAGAGCAGACAGTCCCATGTGACAGAAGTGGAAACCAAGGCTCGTGGCCACATGGCTAACAGCCGGTAGCCCGTGGGCCTGGCGTGAAACTCGGGGGCCCACTCCAAGCCCAGTGTACCTCCCGTCATCCCCCATGCTGCTGTCAACAAGTGAAGGAATTTTTTTGCTCAAACTGCATGTGGCAGTTTAAATTTTTTTTTTTCAACATTTATTTATTTTTGGGACAGAGAGACACAGAGCATGAATGGGCGAGGGGCAGAGAGAGAGGGAGACACAGAATCGGAAACAGGCTCCAGGCTCCGAGCCATCAGCCCAGAGCCCGACGCGGGGCTCGAACTCACGGACCGTGAGATCGTGACCTGGTTGAAGTTGGACGCTTAACCGACTGCGCCACCCAGGCGCCCCATGCATGTGGCAGTTTAAACGCAACCAAAATATTCCTCGCTCCTGCGCTCTCTGTCAGCTCACACGGTTAGGCAGATTGCAGATTTGTCTCCCAGAAAAGGATGCCGCACATGTCACCAAATGATAAATAAAAACTATATTCATTAACATTTTAATAAAAGAGGAAATGAGCATGATAAAGACAGATGGGCTGTGCATTTTGCAACCCATCTGCGTGGCGGCCCATTACAGCACCGCACCCCTGAGTGGCTTTGGCTGAAGGGAGGCGTAATGAAATTCGCAGCGAGTTTAGGATATCTTTGCACCCAGCCCGCGGGCAGGTGCGCAAGAGCGACTCCGTCAGCCAAATGGGCCCTCGCCTGCCTGGACGGCTTCAGGGGATTCTGCTGGGCTCCTACACCTTTGTAGGATTTTTTTTTTTTTTTTAACAGAGTTTAAACACGCTTTTTGGCCCCATCGTTTCACAGAATGATGCCCCGGAATAAACAAGACCTGGCAGCGAATCTGAACACCCACTGTCGCTTCTCATTTGGAACCGTCAGGACGTCAGAACTGCATTTTCAAGTTATCAGTGAAGTGAAATGGGGAGGTCAGAGAGGGGGCTTCTTGCGGAAATCAAATTGTCTGTCTTGTTCCTTGGAAGAGGTGCCAAACTCCCTCCCTCTCACCCACACCGGAGATGGTCAGAGAGGCGAGGCATGATTTCCGCGATGGCGTCAGGCGAGGCTCACGTTGCCGACGCTGCGGGCTGTGGGCATGCTCCGCACACAGCAGAAGAACCCAAGGACGTGACGCTCAGGACTCACAAGTCCGTGCTGGGAGCGCATCGGGAATGCATGCTGGGTCCTTGGGAGTCACCACGAAGTAGCTACAAACCGCTTCACAACGAAATGAGGCTCTCGAGGGCAGCCCGCGTGGACGCTCACAGGGAGCTGTCTACTGCTAAGCTGGAGTTAGCTGATCCCCGAGCAAAAAAGTTACGCTGCTCTGTAGCACGAAGCCAGTTGGGCTACAAAGGCTGAATCTTTTTTAATTATTTCAAATAAAGCTGCTTCCAAAAATGGCTTTCTGGGAACGCGGTCCTCACCACCAGCTGGGCATTTCAGTGTTCTTGGCCTTTGATTCTCGGTGATATAGGTAATCTATGCTTGATGAAGGTCCCCCTCTCTTTATGTTTCCTTAAAACTGCCAAGTGTGCATCCCCAGTTAACTCCAGAAGAACTCACACCAATTTGCCTTTTTGCTTTGGGAGTCTGAGACCCTTCTAGAAGCACCAAATGGCTCGTGGTGATCCGGTTCGCTAAGCAGGCTCCTGTACAGAAAACAGCCATTTGTCCACACGGCCCGTGGAAGAGGCTTCTGTCGCATCCACGTAACTGGACTTGGTTGGGGAGCAGGGCCCGTCCCTGCCAAGTCACAGTCCAGTGGAGATAGTTTTCATTCTGAAGACAACACACACAAGTGTCCACGGCTGGCCACCACCCTTTCACGTACAGGTGTCTATTTCTGTTTGAGTTTCTTCTGTAAAAAGGGTGGGGGGCGGCAAGTCAAAACCACAGTGAGACCCACCTCCCACCCAGGGGATGGCCACTCTACAGAAAGCAGAGAATGGCCTGGGTGGGGGAGGACGGAGAGAGGCTGGGACCCGTGTGCTGATGGTGGGATGCAGAATTGTGCACCTGCTGGGGAAGACAGTATGGAGGCTCCTCTAAAGACTAAAAACAGAACTGCCATTTGGTGCAGCTGTTCCACTTCAAAATATAAACCCCAAAGAGCTGAAAGGAGGGGCTCAAAGAGCTATTTGTTATGAGCCCATCTTCACAGTAGTATTCACAACAACCAAAAGGTGGGAGCAGCCATAGCGTCCGTGGATGGATGGATGGATGGATGGATGGATGGACCAAACGTGGTCTCTCCGTGCACTGAAATACTATTTACCCTTGATAAAAGAAAGAAAGAAAGAAAGAAAGAAAGAAAAGCAATTCAAACACACACTCCAACACAGTTAAGCCTTGAAAATAAGGCAGTCACGACAGACACACAGTGTAGGATTCCACCTATATGAGGTCCCTGGAGGAGTCAGATTCGCAGACACAAGGTCGAACGGCAGCTGCCAGGGGTGGAGGGAGGGGGAGACGGGGAGTCCCGTTTAATGGGTACAGGGTTCCAGTTTTTCCAGGTGAAAGGAATTCTGGAGATTGGTGGTACAATTGAGTGTACTTTAACGCCACTGAATTGTGCATTTAAAACTGGTTAAGACAGCAGATTTTATGTTATGCATATATTACCGCAATTAAACATTTGTTTAAATGGTAAAAAAAAAAAAAAAAAAATGGGGGAATAACACAACTCCCAAGACAGTCGTGGTGAAGAAGAGACGCGCACTGATGCCTCCAGCACAAAGCCTGGCCCGCGGTGGATCCCAGTGCTGGACATCCGGTCCCCCTCCCACCGTCCCCTTCACCCTTCCCACCTTCCCCTCCCTGTCCTGTGCCCCCGACGACCTGCCTGGCAGGGCTGGGCTCTTTCTTACTCATGGGGCGATCCCCCTGTTCTTCTCATGGGGGCAGCTCTAGGCCACCTCTCTGTCTGGACCCTGCAGCAACCCTTGCCTCTGTGTCCTGAGTCACAAGCCTCCACACCTGGGCAGGCCTTCCCTTTGGAAACTTCCTCCCGGACTGCTCTAATTCGAGAGTGCCGCCTACTCGAATTAGAGCGGCACCTGACTGACGCGGTGCTCGATAAAACATCCTTTCTCTCCTTCTTCTTTTTCCGTAGAGCCTGTCAGTAAGCGGACGGCTCACCTGCTCGGTCGGGTAAACCGTATGGTGCAAGTTCAGAAGGGGGCCGAGTCAGAAGGACGGTGGGGGAGCCCGCGGACTGAGACGGTGAGTGTCGGCGTGGGGGGCGGGGCAGGGGCACCCGCTGCCTTGCCCGCCCAGGTGCCTTCCCTCCCAGATTCTGCCCCGTGGGATCTGCGCCTTCACTCGGAGTATAAACAACTCCTCAAAGTGTGTAACCCCATCCGGGCGATCTGCTGATGATAGGCAACAGGGCCTATTAGTCTGCCCTGTACCCTGGGGTCCCGCTCAGTCTGCGGGCTGCATCTACAGAACTCTTTATTTATTCTTTTCCTTCTTCCTACTGGAAGATAAAAGGTCTGGCAGGAAGAGAGATTAAACCGAGCACTAATACAAATGAACCTGATCCATCTCACAGGCACTCTGATTTGTACCAAAAAAAAAAAAAAAAAGTAGTTTGGGAAGGATTTGCTCATTCACAAGCCTCTGAGCTGCAAGCTTGCCGAGACTGTTAAAATTTAAATATCAGGTCTGCTCCTGAGAATCCATAAGCAAAATCCCTTTAAAAGGTTCTCCTCCAGGTCCTCAGAAAAAAGTACTACAAGATGCTGTCAGAGGGGCTGGAATGTAGAGGATTCTTTTGACAAAGGAAACCATCCCATAAAAGTTTCAATAGCTTTTTCCTCCCCTTCAGGGACGCCTCCTGCCCTCTGATCTAGAAGCCTAAGGAATTTCAGTCTTCCCCAGTCGGGCTATGAAACAAACCTCTGCTCCACAAAGAGCGTCACTGATCTTCCTGTTACCTTCAAGTGCCCAGAACCCCCGAGGAGGTCACCGCTCCTTTGCCCTGTCTACTGGTGAAAAAGCTGGTGGCTTTCGACCTTCGCAAATGTACTGGGAGCTTTCTCCAATAAAAAAGAGCATTATCATGTTCTCAATCAAAGGTATCTTAGGAAGGGAAATACTTTTTCAAAGAAAAATTCAATTGCCACAAGAACCATTATTATTAATGCCCGAGGTCTATATGGCCGCTGGCGGTCTGGAAGCGTGTTTACATCTGTAGGCACATGGATCTTCTTGGGGAGAAGGCATCATCTCCTCTCTGACAGATGAGAAAACCAAGACTCAGGGACACAGAAACAACTCCTCCCAAACCTTACAGGCTGTCACTTCCCAGACGTGGGGACGGATCAAACACCACTAAAGGCAGAGGAGCTGGGCTTCCAGCATCTCCTTGTGAGTGAGTGGGAAGTACCCAGCAAATGCCCAGGCACCCCTGACACACACACACACACACACACACACACACACACACTCTCTCTCTCTCTCTCTCTCTCTCTCTCTCTCTCTCTCTCTCGAAGAGAACGCACAAAGCCAAAAGCCGGATGCAAATTCCCTCCAGTCTCTGGGCAATAAAGGAGATGCAGGAACGCATTAAATGACACCACACGGAAGCAATCAGCCAAGCCCTGGACTTGGGACATTCTACAGGACAGACGCCCTGGCCTCTGTACCAGGCGAGGGAAGGGGAAAGGGGGGTGAGGCTCTTGTTGATGAAGCAATGGACGGACCTCATTTGGATCTGGATTTGGATTCAGAAGAATCAACTGTGAAAAGTCATTAAAAAAAAAGAAAGCATTTGAAGATGACAAAAGGAAATGAAAATACATTCCATGCTCATG